CATACAAAACAAATTTGGTCATCATTGTGTATCATTAACGAGGTCAAGTTTCCTCCTTTTTCATTATTTTTATAAATTAATGTATGGGGAGGGACATCTGCTCTGGCTACTTTGGTGAGCCTATTTAAAAGAGCATGCACATGTTAAGAAATGTTTACATTTGAATCATAAGTTAATAAGGGGTTCTTCTTTTGCATTTTTGAGTTAGGGTGATTTAAGTGATGATCTTGAGTTGAGTTTGAGTTGTAACTTGAGTTTGTGTTTGGATGTGCATATTTGAGTTATGATTTGAATTGAGAATCTTTTTGAATTTGTGTTTAGGTGGGTCAAAACTTAAATTTGTACTTATATAGTATTTTAATAAAAACTCAATAGTGATGAAAAATTTTAATAGGGTATATGGGTGGAGTTTTATTCGTCTTTCCGTTGTGAATGCACAGAAAAAAATCATCTTAATCAGAATTAAAATGAAAAAGTTATGGTATTTTTAAGAATAGAAAAAATATTGTTCATTAACTTGAGTTTAAGTTTATGAACTCAAGTTGAAGGGGAAACTCGAACTCGAGTTTAGCCCCAAACTCGAGTTCAAAGTTCAAACTCAAGTTTTACTAAAGAACATGAACTTAAATAAAATTATAACTCGAGTTCAAATTTTTTCTGAGTTTTGTTGTAAAAGAAATATTTGTGTCGAGTGACAAAGCGCATCACTTTAATTAAAAACTAATGAACATTGACTCAATAATTTAAAAATACTCTCAAATACTTTTCATCACTCGAACTTAAGATCTGTCATCTACCAAACCTATTAGAGAAAAACCCAATCCCATTAAAACTTAAAGTGCGGAATTCAACTCTAGCGTGTGGTGGAATGGTGAGGTGTAAAATTACTGCTACGTTATGCTTATAACCACGAGATTCATGTAATTTTCAATTCTTACTCCTCTCACCTTTTTTTTTTTTTTTTAAATGTAGACGAATCTTTCCTATATATAATTGGTTGATTTTCCGTTCTCGAAGAGTTTAGGCTGTAACGTCAGCATTCATGCCTCTACGGAGATTATATTATACTGTTATAAATAATAAAACAACAAACACATGTGTTTGGAGAATTTTGTGTGTAGAGGAAGAAAATAATGAAAATAAGGGTATGAGACGTATATAAATACTTTTCTTTAAGGTTTTATTTGTCTTTACTTTTCAAAATTTGTAATGAATTTTAGTAGCAAATTACTCTGAGATAAAACAAACCCTTGAACACAACATTTAGAAATAATATTGTGTTCTAGAACAAAGAAAAAATCCGTAAATTTTCTTGAGAATTAAGAAAGATAAATGTGTCATTTTATAAATGAACACACTCGCTTCAAACATCACAACAATTCACATAAATGTACATTTTTAATGTAAATGTATCTCTTTATCGATTAACATATCTGTTACAACGGTTATATATATTACTAATAGGTATTCAAATATGTGTGAAAATATATCACCAATGGATGTAATAGTTCGAAACGTTTCAAATCACAAATCACACATGAGACAAAATTTTCTTTGTAGAAAACCCGTTGTAGCTGGTTTGGCAGCAAAACTGATGTATCGCACAATATAGGCGTTGTAGCGTAGACAACACCAAATGGTGTTGTGTTATTCGCTGCAGCGCAATAAACGCGCGCTGCAGTGGATTTTTTATTTTTGAAACTGTTAACATGCGTGTTTTAACGGTCTAAAAAATGTGTGATCTAAAATTAAAAGATATATTATAATTTCTCTAACAACATTATGAGATGGCTCATCAAAACGGGAAGGGATGGGATCATACAAATGGAAGCTTGTATTATAGAATCAATTGGTAATATTCCTTTTGGCCCTTAAACATAATTTAATTGGCCCTCACTTTCTCACTTGTCACAATAAAAAAAAAAAAAAAAAAAGGCCGGTTTTCAGATTTCCTCAGCTAAGCTAGTTGCTAGTTTCACAAAATTTAATGTTTGATGCTCATAGTAGGTATGTGTCTCCTTCCATGCATGTGAAATTTTCAGATATTAATCTTATGGAAACTGGAGAGTTTTGCTTTTGCTACTTAAAATTAATAAAGGCCGGTTTTCAGATTTCCTCAGCTAAGCTAGTTGCTAGTTTCACAAAAATGTTCAAAATATCAGCCTCCATCAGTGTTTATTTTTTAGACACGTTTTATTTTTTTGTGTAACAAAACCAATTCAAGTTACCGAAACATTCTCGTTCGTTTCGTCGGTTCAAATTGAGAGCTTAAGTTAAAAAGTAAATTCATGTGAGAGAAAACATTATAATAAAAAAATTAAATTTAAATTTTTATGAGAAAAAATACTGTAATAAAAATTTAAATTGTGATTCAAACTAATAAAATGAACAGTTACCACGTTATATAGAATCGGGTGTACTTGGTGAACTTTCTGCTAGTTAAATTAAAAAAAAAAAAAAAAAAAAAAAAAAAAAAAAGAAGGGTGTTTTGGTGTAATTTTTTTTGTATAAAAAAAAAAAAAAAAAAAAAAAAAAAAAAAAAAAGAAGGAAATTGGTTTGCACCTTTTCTCACTCAGGAGTGGTGGTACTAGCATTTACTCCTTTATTTCTTTCTTCTCTAAGATCGAGATTTCGGACTTGTTTCTTTTTTAAGGATCGGAGCTCTAAAATTGAGACTTCCGAGCTACGAAGTTGAGGTAAAGGGGTTTTATTTGGGCCAGCAGGGTTATGGGTACCAGCCCATATAACATTAGGGCCTACCTGCACAAATCATGTGGAATTATCCCACATCTAAAAAAACGGAGAATTTACTTTTAAAAATGCATGAATTTAGACATTTACTTCTTATTTTTAATAAATATATTTTTTTAATATAATTATTTAATTAAAAAAGTTATAAATTAAGAATAAAAAGTAAAAATTTTGACTCATACACTTTAAGGAGTAATTGACTCTATTATCTAATAAGGGCCTCCATGGGCTTTCATACTAGCCCATTATGAAGTTGTGTGTGCGAGTTTTTTTGGTTTGTTTGGGTTTTTTTTCTTTTCTTTTCTTTTTTGCCCTTTTTTTGTGTAATGAAATTTCATTATATTTAGAACAATGCTTGGGGCACAAGGTGTGTATTAAACATCATCACTAATAAAACGTAAATTTTATTTATGGGTTTTATATTAAGAGATTCACTTTCTATTAGTGTCGGTATCTTATAACATTAGTACAAACAGAGTGTTGAAACCCAAACAAATAGCTTTCCAAAGTTGCCGCATGTGCCAGGTAGGCCCGGCAGCAGCCTGGCGCCCTAACCACAACTATCTTTTGGGCCCTGAAAAGTCCAACTGTCGCACTCTTTATCCAACCAACCACCTTTTAAACTGGGACTTAAGGATTTTCAGCAAAAAAAAAAAAAAAAAAAAGAGGAAAAACTGGGACTTAAAGATAAGCTGGTTTCTTTTTCTTTATTCGGACCATTTTCATTCGATGATGACCAACAACTCTAATTTGCTCATTAGCATTAGCCCACGCACTTGATGTTTGTTAGAAAGGAAGAATCATATTAGTTATTATGTCTTGTGTGAGATCTCTATTAAGAGATTATTGTTACCTTATCTAAAACTCTTTTTAAGAATCTTTACGGTGGAACAAGCTATTTTAGTTTATTATTAGAACAAATATTTTTAATTATTAGATTTTTTTAATGGTCAGATATGTATAAATCCGTATTAAAAATTCACACCGCGTCACATAAAACTACTTTTGTTGCAGATTTAATAGTTAAAAAATTAATCTAACAGTAAAAACACTTACATCACCCAGTGGAGCAAGTTTATTCCAAAGACTCCCTTCTTTTTAATGCTGCGACTAAAATTATTCTTCTTGAATTTTTTGTATTTTATTTTTAGGGGTAGTCCTATTGAGCTGTTGGGCATTAGTTTTTGTAACAATAATGAACTTAAAAGATGCTCATTAATGGTTGAAAAGCGAAATCAGTACAGCTAGGACATCATTAGAATATATATGTTCTTTTCCTTGATTCCCATGACGAAAATTTTGATTCCATTATTCATTATCACAATCACAAAGGAGATGTTTAGTACCTAAATTCGTTTTCTAATTTAAATTATGGTTCGTGATTCGTTACAATATTTTCTCTCATAAAAAATATACGTTGATTAAAAATAATTCTAATCACATGATTTTAATCCATGAATTAAATTTTTCCTAAACATCATATCATATCATATACTCCTTCAGCTGCATTGAGGCCATTTGCATATCCAGCTGATCACTCATTTTCCAACACAACCTCATCTTTCTTATACCAAATGCGTTCAATTGGTAAGAAAAAGAAAAAAAAAAATGCACAAAACAAAACAAAAATTCTTAAAACAATTTGCCAGGTCAACAATATCTTTTCAGAAAACTTACATAAAAGTTAAAATACTTGCCAATTTTGTTATTTGAACGAGAATTCTAATTTTTATGTGAAAAATTACAATAGTTAAAGTTATGTTTTGATTAAATTTCTATTAGATTCTATTAGTTTTGCGTTTTTTTTAATGATCAAATTTAACATTCAGGTAGATATATCCTACCATTTTTTTTTAAAACGCAATTTGCAGTGCTCGAAGTTTCCTTATTTGTGCCTAATATTGGTAAAACGGTATGGAAAATTATTTTAAAATATATCCTCTACATCTAGAACAACATATATTTATAGCATAATTAAAATGAAAAAAAAATCCACACTAAGGCCCCGTTTATTTCGCTTATTCGAGTTTAGAATTTGAGTTTTTCTACAGTAAAAAGCTCTCACAAACAATCACATCTAACTTTTTTGTTACAGTAAAAAGCTCTCACATAAAGTCACATCTCAACTCGAATTAGCGAACTAAACAGGGCCTAAGAAAGAATCTGACACGTGTCGAGTATATAAAGCGAGTATAACTGTCGGAATTACCAAAGCAAGCATTTGTAGTATCTGCAAAATACATATTATCAAAACTCTTAAAAAGTTTCCTCAAAAAGAAAAAAAAAAAGGCTTAAAAATTCGGTTGCAGTTGAAATGGAGGCATAATATTATTAATAGTCCTTCGAACGCCCTTTTCGGCTTTTCGTGCGTAGAGGACAAAGTGGCGTAAGGTTTCCTTTATGTGCGCGAACAAATCTCGAAAACTCTCTACCCAAATTAAGTTCTCTCGTGTTATTTGGTCGTCTTTCTATCTTTTCCATTTTCGGCACTCTTTCAAGTTTCTATTCTACTATAATAAGTTGAGAAAGGAAGGTCTCCAGTTTTCTGCGCAAGTCTTTCATGTCATATTCAATTTATTGCCTATAGATTTCTTCGTCAGTTCTTTTTTTTTTTGTTTTTTTTTGTTTTTGGCTGTTGGGTTCGTTGACTTGGGCTCTTTTCAGTTGACGTTGAACCGGGTTTTGTGGTTTTGCTTGACTAGGTTTACTTTAAGTTGAAGTGTGGTCTGTTGATTTGATCTTATTTGTAAAGCTCCATGTTGATGTGGGGTTCATTTAAAAAAAAAAAAAAAAGCAAGAATTATTATTGGGATTTCTCATTTGATCTTTTTTTTTTTTTTTTACTTTGAAAACACTTTTCCAATTGGAAGGTTAGCACTGAATTTGTGTTTACATGATCCTAATGTAACAATCCCAGTTTGTCAAAATTTTGATTTTTGCAATTGAATTTGTGCATCTTTTTTCAAATAGAATTTGTATTACATGTGTTTCTTCATTCACTATGTCCCGTGTTTTTATGGATAATTGCATGAATGTTTATGAAGAGTGCTTTGATTATTGCTTTTGTTGCTATTACAGTTCACAGGCCAGAAATATAGTGCTTATCCAAAGTTGATAGAGAAAAGATCTCAATTTTAATGAGATTATGCAGCTCTATCATCATCCATACTCTTTGAACAGCCAAAGAGTGAGGCTTGCTTTGGAAGAGAAAGGAATTGATTACACATCTTTCCATGTCAATCCCATAACAGGCAAGAACATGGACGCCACGTTTTTCAGGATGAATCCAAGTGCCAAACTCCCTGTTTTTCAAAATGGAGGTCACATCATCTTCAACACCATTGAGATAATCCAGTATGTTTTAGTCTCACCCTAGAGCCTTTTTTTTTTTTAATGGGTTTTTTTTTGTTTTTGTTTTTTTGGGTCATCTGAAAGATGCTAAAAATTAAACTTTTTAAGTAATGATGGCATTAGTAGACACCATAGAGAATCCAGGAATGGAAATTAAGGATCTTGATGAATCATAATGCAGTTAAGAGGGATTTAAACCCGATGACATTTTAACGCTATGCTTGTTAGAAGTCATCAATCCCCAAAGATAAAGATGGCCCAAGTTGGCATTCACTCCAATTTGAAATTTTTCAAAGAGAGAACTTTTTTTTTTGTCGAGGCAAAGAGGAAATTCATGTATTTGCCTTTTCTGTTGAACAATGGAAGATGTTAAAATGTTCTATGGATGTATTTTTCAGGTATGTCGAGAGGATTGCGGTTGTCTCTTCAGGTGGTGACAACATCACCTGTAGTAGCAGAGAAGTGATTGAATGGATGCAGAAGATAAAAGAATGGAACCCGAAGTTTCTCACCCTTGCCCACATTCCAGACAAGTACCGAGACTATGTTTCCAAGTTCATAAGGCGCGTAATCATCGCTCGAATGGCTGAGTTTCCTGATCTTGCATCTGCTTACCATAACAAGCTAAAAGAGGCATATGAGACAGAAGAGAAGTTGAAGAACCCGGATGTTTTGGAGCGGGATAAGGAGCGTCTAACCAGGCTTCTCGATGAGGTGGAAACGCAGCTCAATGAAACAGCTTATTTAGTAGGTGAAGAGTTCACCATGGCTGATGTGATGCTCATTCCAGTGCTTTCCCGCTTGGTGCTCTTGAATTTGGAAGAGGAGTATATAAGCACCAGACCAAATATTTCCGAGTACTGGATTTTGGTTCTGCAGAGGCCTAGTTACGAGAAGGTTATTGGGAAGCATTTCAATGGATGGAGGAAGTACAAAACGTTGATCAAAACTTGGTGCTTTGTTCGTGTGAGAACTGTGCTGAGAAGATTTTGATAAAGCATTCATGTATGGATATTTATTGATTGAAGTTTGAATAAGGGAAAAAAAAGAGGTGTAAGCATGGTGTATATGGGGGTTGAACACAAACAAAGGTAAAGAAAGAATTTGAGTGTAAGCATTGGTTTCTTTTTCTATATCTTTCTGTATTTTTTTTTTTTTTTTTTTTTTTTTTTTTTTTTTTTTTTTTTTTTTTTTTTGCATTTTCTTCTTACTTTTACTTGGGAGGAGATGCAATAAGTGGAATTGTAGCTTGGATTGATTCTGAAGGTCAAATAAAATGTCCTTCTACCCTCCACGCGGCATTGCTCCGTCAGGCTTTCGCCCATTGTGGCTTCTAAGTTGAGATCTTGCTGATGCTTTTCAATGGAAAGCGAGTATAATTGTATAAGGTGAATATAGTCAAACCAGTAAATATTTTTTGTTTCATGAAAACGTGCAGCAATTTTCTTGCGACTGAAAACAATATATCCTGTTCATCACCTTCAGAACGAATTAAAAAGCTGATAGAAATGACTTTTTTTCTAAGAGATCTTAATCTGCGTATGTGGTTGGATATATAAGATCGCAAAAGAAGCAGAATGTAAGATCGTGAAAATTCAACTGCAAGTTCGATATCAGCCATAAGCAATAAATGCGAGTGAAAGGAAAAAGAAAATAGGAAATTATTCACTCAAGACGTGAAAAACTTGGCCAATTTTCTTATTCATTGATCTGACATCATGTTTCATTAGTTTGAATTCCCGTGAGAATGGTACAAAATAATTATAGATGGACCAATATCAATTAGAGCACATCACCAAATGGGAGAACCCTTTTTTCAGTGGGTGTTAGGATTAAACTCCAATTCAAATATTGAATGCAATTCATTCAGAAAGAACCCATTAAAAGGGGCAAAAAAGAATTGAGAATACAACCAAGTATAAAGAAAACAAGTTGTCCTTCCTATAAATCAATGTTGACTGTGGTGCTCTGGATGCTGAAAACAATTGCTACCAGCTTTCTCCATCGTACAACTTAAATCCTCTGAACAATATGTACTTATATGCTCGTTTGTTATGTTTCCTATACTTACGCTGCTAGTCCCGTCTCCTGAATTTCCCATGCATCCCCATCCATTTCTTCTCAAAGGCCACGGGGGCCCTAATTTCGTATTATTCCACTTCTGCTGTTTGAAATACCTTCTTCCCAAATCATGGGATGATTCCCTGCCTCGTTTCGATGTATAACGGTTAATTGTACATGGAATGTCCGTAGCTGGTTGGTCACCAGTTGTGCTAGGAGTGCAATCATTTGAGTTGGTGGTAGGAAGACGGCTGTCTGGTTGCGCTTCTTCTGCAGGTTGATTAACTGACAAGTGGTTGACCTCAGCAGAAGGCGAAGGGTCTTTCTTATCACGAGGATATGAGGGTAATGGTGGAAAAGGATGGAAAGGCATGCCAGGAGCGACAACCCAACTTCCTGCTGTTTCTGTATGAGGGGTTCCGAATTGCTGCATGATGGAGAGAGGGATTCCATATGAGACAGGTAAACGAGAAACGAATTTCTCCTGTGGATACCCAATAACAGTGTCAAGAGGACACTGAGAATGGAAAGCCGTTGATGAAGCAGCTGATGAACCCAGAGGAGGTTTAAGGGGAGATGAGAAACCCGGTGGAACATCCTCAAGAATGTTCTTTTTTGCCTCATGTGCTATATTGGCCATCTCAAGCTGACAACAATCATTCACAGAGCCAGGACAATTACTTTCCTCTCTGTTCAACTTGTCTCGATGGAGCACAGGGGTCTCAAACTGTTTAGACTCAATCTTCTGTTCCTTGTGTGGAAGAGAGAACAAAACTGAATTTGTCTCAGCTGGCTGATCCCATCGGCTTTTACGCTTGCGGGTTTTAGTCCCACTGGTAGGGGAAACACCAGCACAAGATCCAGAAGAGCCCTCCCGGATACCTTCATCTACCAAAGTTGTTGCAGGTGTTGATTGCTTGACACTATTGCTTGCTTCTGAAAATCTCCCATAATGATCAGACCGATTGTTTTGTTTTGCAGAATATCTGTTGCAGTTTGAACTTCTAGGAAACTCTCTCTTGTTATCATCTCTATCCACAAAACCAAGTTTCCTGAGAGTTTTTGGAATCCACCTGTCTCGGAAGTTTCGTGCTATTTGATGGACCTGTATGTGCGGATTAAAGTGATTAAAACTCATTCAAAAAAGTGCAGTCACATCAGCAAGAGGATATTAAAGTCTTGAGAGCAATTTTATCCAATCAACAAAGTTATATATACGATGGGATTTCAACACAAGGAAAGGGAATTCACTTGACAAGGCACAAATACCTGTCTATCGTTGTGTTCAGTCAGTGATAAAATCGACGCCTTAAAACTGCACAAAGAGAGAGTTCTCATGGTTACATTCGTGAAAATCAACATAACACCATTAAACGATATATTTAGTTCAATAGTAAACAAAAGAGCTTCAGAATTAAGAGTTTGAAGCTCCCTGGAAAGTGGAAACCAAGATATCCATGAATTGGATGTAACAGCAGCTGTTCCATATACATTCCTAACAAGCCCCAATCACACCCCCATCGCACGATTCTTTCTCTCTCTCTCTCTCTTTTTTTTTTTTTTCTTTTTCCTTTTCAATCAACCTCCAAATTAGGAGGAAATTTGTTAGAATCCCGAAAATCTATGCTTCATTAACAATACTAAAAATGGAAACTTACAAGATGGATGGGCAGTTTCGACGACCCCCGACCTCCAAAATAGTGCACAGCACTAGACACTCTCTACAAATCTGATTTTCCCCTCCTAGCAACTAAACCCCCTATTTATACTCTCCTTAAGACTATTGAAAAAGACTTCTAAATATTAGGTTCCTAACAAAATTCTAAATGATACAGCGCCCTTTATAGTCAGTATAACAACAATATATGCCAATAAATACATTTGATAGTAGTCATGCCTTATTTGGATTAGAACTTCACCAGTCACCCAGATATTCTTCTTTTAGTTTGCTTAATAAACAGAAAGCCTTTCAAAATATAATTTCCAAATAACAACCACCCTCGATCAACCATCCTTGATAACCAAAAAGAGAGAAGGACCAATACTTCAACAGAACACCCGGTAAAAAACTAAATAAGAAAATTCGTTGAAGAATTATCTAATATTTCCCAACCTCTCCATTCCAGGACAGGGAGGACCTCCATTGATATGTTCTGAAGTAAGAATCTCCCTAGCTGCCAAGAACTCCAAGACCTGCAGAGATGATCACGTTAGCAGCATCCAGCACTCTATGATATCAACTAAGAAGTTTTCTGATTTATCAAATCATCTTCCAAAGTCTAATATAAATAGGTTTTTAAAATACTAAAAGTGGAAGCATTTGAAGACATTTAACTCATCATCCAAAAAACAAGTACTTCTTATGTACTTTAATCCACAAACAAAAGATGCCTTATTTATGATCCGTTTCATTCATTTTAAACAAAACATAGGTGGATGGGAGAGGTTATTCATAGATAAAAGAAAAGGCTCATTAATTGAAATACTGGGTATTTTTTTCAATATTCACCAAGGTCAAAGAAAATCTAAGCCTATTGCTATGAAGCCTCAATGGAACTACCTTGAGAAGCTTTCGAAGAATTGGTATCTTTATGAAGTCTCTTCTGTACTGCTTCATTATATTGTGTAGCATTCTCAAACCTAGCAGAAAGCAATATTAATTCACTAGAGCAAACTGAGATAACACAATGCACATATTCATTCCAGATAAACTAGGGAAACAAACCAGCAAGCTACAGAATGAAACTGCATAGAATTACCATTTTTGTTGATTATATCAATTAGTACCACCCGTGATTTTGTTTTCAAGAGGGCGTCAAGGATCATTGAAAGATCTCGATTTCTGCAAAAAGAAATGCAGTTAGTTACAGCACTTCTACAAGACCAAGATTATTGGCCCGTTTGTTTCATATACTCAAATTCAAATAATTGATTCTACTACACTGTTTTCCTCTCACAAAAAATTTGAATTTCAAACGTCAGAATCAAGAATCATGGTTTGAGTATACCTTTCCAAACGGGGCCTTTTTTCAATTTTTTTTTTTTTTTTTTTTTTTTGGAAACAAAGACAAAATTTAATTATAAATAAAGAATAAGTACAAATGTAACAGAGAGAGGGTTTTCCTCTGAGAAAATTGACCCCCCAATCCCTAACAAGACCAAGATTTTAACATGGCAGTTTATGTAAAGAAAAAGTAAGAATAATTACCTCTGGATTGCTTCACCGTTGGCACTATCACCTGATGCCACAGTAAGAAGAAGAAGTTTTAAGTAGCCTTTAGTGGCATCCTGCGAGAAAGCAACATGAATTTCCAAACGGACTCAAATATGAGCTTGATGTCATAGCATAGGGAGACACGAGGAAAACCTCAAATGAAATCACCAGCCGAGGAAAAAACACCCAATTAGTTTATTTCATGAAGCAAAGACAATGAAGCAAAATTAAAATGCAGAACCACATGAGGATATTTGCCTCCATGTTGACCTTACAGGCTGACAAAACCAAAAAAACCATTTCATGGCTACTTACTTTCCGTTTGCTTATTCCCCCATCAGCATCCAGCAACTCGTTAAGCTTCTCCTCCACTGGAAAGGACATTATCAATTAGTTTAACCACCCTATAAACTATTCTTTCTATGAAAGAAGCATCAAAATTAATAGCTAACCTGCTTCAAAGTTATTCCCAAAAGAACCTTGTATCACTTTTTTGGGTGGGACCTGAAGTTTGTTGACTGCCAACTGAACTTTGCTAGTACTTGGAGGAGCACTCTTAACTTTACCCTTCTTAACAGTACTGGAAGGGCGAGAAGTTTTCACCTTCGGATGAGCTTTAGAAGAAAGCCGCTGATCATCAGCTGTGTCAGACTTGGACTTCCTTTTACCCTCAAAACTATCAGATAGAGATTTGCTATGCACTTTAACAGGAGGTGTAAAATCCAATCTTTCAGAAGAGCTGGGAGTTTTTTCCATAGTCTCCTCTACCATGGAGCTTTCTAGCCGAACAGTAGAAATGAGTTCACTGGTAACATCTTCAGTTTGTTGGGAAATTTCTAAAGGTTGTACAGAAGATGATAATATTCCATTAGAGTCCAACTCCAATGCATCATGTACTTGGGAAACAGCAGACACAGAATGGTTCATGGAGTCCTCTTTTCCCGTGGAAATCTCTGATTGAACCACAGCAGGTGTTTGTTTATCCCTTTCATGTATATGGTCGGATGTACTCTCAGAAGTCTTCTTCATGATGGAGGAACTAGGTTTGCGTACTATCTTGTTTAAGCTTTCTTCAGCGTAAACATTCTCAGGAAGCATAATGGGCTCTGGATAGTCTTCATCTGAATCACTTTGAATAATGACATCACCATTAAGAGGATCACCACCAATATAACCCCGACATTGGGATGAACCACAATAACATTTTTTGGCAGCAGCTCCAAATACCCTCACATAGTTGTAGTCAAATGTCACTTCTTCACCCTGATAGAAGCACCCAACAAAAGATCTCGGAGTCATTATCACGTATGCACAAAGCAAAAGAAAAGAAAATGAAGGGTAGCCACAGACGGTGGCTCCAGGGGCAAATGCGTGCAACAAGCCGATGGTAACTTTGAAGTTCCGGAACCATGGTCCACCATCTCTCTTTTACAACAAATATCATGCATCCAACTCGTGGAATCAGACAAACAGAGAAAGTTAAATATACAACCGTAAGGTGATAGTTAGGTTACTGAGCAAGGATTGCTTGCTTTCGGTATATTCTTTATCCTTTACAGATCAATAAATTTATCTAGTTTCTCATCCAAAGGAAAAAATGGCTTCAGGATGCCAACAAAAGATCTAAGCATGGAAGTAATGATAATGCAGGGGTCAAGCATTACCTTCTTAATATCTCTCAGCGCAAACAGGCCAATACAAATTTCTCCATTCACCATCCACTATAAAAAAAAATAAATAAATAAATAAAGAAGAAGAAGTTAAGAGCAGGAAAAAAAAATGGTACGAATGGTAAAGTAAAAGCAGGCTTTCAACAGATCCTTGCTTCACAGATAACTCTTGGAATAAGGTAATCTACTTTTCGAAACCACTTTGCAATTTTCTAAACCGTTTCATGAACAATATTCAGGTTAGCCTCTTAAGTTTAGGGTATTGAAAGTACTTGTACACACAACCTATGCAGCCTAACTTGGCAAGTCAAGCCCTATAAATGGCATATGCATCTCCAAACCTCGGTACATTAACTTGGAAATACATCCCATTGACAATCAAATAGATAAAAAATGTCGTTAGAGTTTTCACATTATATTATCCGATCAATTCTTTTAAATATGGTCCACAAAGAAGTAATCTGAGAAAAAGAGAAGGGATGGCCGCAGAAAGAAATGAGATTAGAAAGCAATTATAATAGGAGAAAGCAATCTAACGAATCCTCAATAATGTTCTACTGAATGGTACTTCTCCATAATGCTAGAGTCACATCCAAATGAACATACTCCCCACCCCTTCCTTCACACAATAAATATAAACTTAAAAAATATGAGGCTCTCTACAACTATATTCAGATCCAAATAGATACATCCAAAGTCCCCACCCCTACCACCTCTGCTTAAATTCAAAAGGAAAATTATGAGGCACACTAAGACTGTATAATTCAGAAACTTTATCTTCAATAAATGAAAACCAGGCCATTCGATTCACCTTTTCTGTCCGACAATTGGGATCACAGCTATGATTAATGAAACGTCCCTTATTTCCTTTTATACATGCATCTATTACCTGAAACAAAAGGAGAAGTGAGACCATAAGTACACAATTTAGGAGCGATTCAGATTTTATTTTATTTTTTTCAAAAACAAGGAAACTCTTTCTAAATCTATTTATTCGATGAAGAAAAAGCAACAATTAGAAAATGCATGGACTACTCATGGATTTACTGACTAAATATAATGAAAAGGGGTATCATTTTTGTGTGCACCACGAAGTGTCCATAGAAATATACTACTAACCTCACTGCCATTCAGTGTCATGAAGTAGAAATGTTTATGACCCTTCAGAGCGTACTCTTTCTGTCGTGCCTCGTAAGCTTGCATGTCAAGCACCTGGTTGGACGTACAGTAATTATCTTGGCAGAAAATAAATGATAAAAATCACAACTCTTGAGAGTGTGTGCCTGTGCATATGTGCATATTAAACATAAGCCCCCCGAAATACTGAAACCAAAAAATTGGAGCAGAAGTTCATTCTTTCAACTTTAAACTTAAATCCATCTACCATAACCATATTTCAGCATACAATCCACTCAAAGATAAAATCTTATTTGGACAGTAATATTCTTATAAACCGCAGGTGAATTAACTGAATTATATTCTTATAAACCGCAGGTGACTAACTGAAACTTGCCAAAGAACATTAGTTCCAACAACTGAAGCAGAAGTTCAAGCGACTTTGCAACACCATTAAGCATAACCATTTCACACGATTTTTGCAAGGCCCCAATCAACTAAATATAATTCCAGATTTAACAAGCTTTTATTGACTATTCAGTTATTAATCTAGGGAATTCAAAATATCTATCTGCCTAGTATCCTTTTCCCAAAATCAATTAGTCAGTAAATAGTGGATTCCCTGCCAACATATCCTTCCACTTGTAAAGAAGAATATAGAAACAGATAGAAAACTTCGCCCGAGCCTGAAGCATGCATCATAAATTTTATGTTTAATAGAACAGACTGAAAACGAGAAATCTATATAGCCGACCCCAATTAGAAATTAAAAATTCTCATGTAGCGGAAACACTGGCCAATCATTCTAGTAACTAGCCAAATTAACAAAACTATAGATTCATTAACACTGAATTCACGTACATATCAAAGCGTAAAAGCATTCAAAAGCTACCTCGCCAACATATTCAATAAGAAATATTCCTTGTGGTGTATCCTCAAGCAGCTTGAGCCCATAACCTTTCTTCCCACATTGAAACTTTCCCAGTTTGGCATACTTGCGTTTCTGGAACTGGAAAGAGACAGGTGGATTGAGGAAAAGAACTTTAAGCAGGAAAATGGCATTCTCCACTAGAAATTGACAAAATACCTGTTGATTGGAACAGAGATCTCCACATGGACAGGCACTTTGAACACATTCAATGTTAAGCATTCGATTCAGGCAATTATCTCCACAACCCAACTGGCCATCTGAAGGTCGTTTGCAATGGCAAACCATTATCTGATTAAATTTACTAATACGTTAGAAATGTAAAAAAATGGAAGAATTAGATCGTGCCAATAAAAATCCCAAGAACAAGCGAACATAACTGAAAGAAGAAATGTTATGACAAGTAAACTTCACATTTATGTTTATCCTAAACATGACAAATCAGATAAGACACCAACACTTAAGGTACTCGGGACAGATTTAAAAATTTAAGGATGCAAAATGCCACCTAGACAACATGGTTCCACCACTAACCTGGACCATATACTTATCCACATCAAGACATAACTCTAAATACACATACGTAAGTCATGTAGATATTTCTGAATTAGTTCCCACCGCAGACTAAACTATAATGCATAACAAAAATTTTTGTAAAATTATAGGTCTACCTCCAATCACTAAGAAATTTGTAATGTGCAAAATTATATATATGTGTGTGTGTGTGTGTGTGTCCTCATTCACTTAAAAAAAAATAAAAAATCTACTAGAACACACACACACACGCGCATAAATCCATATATGCGCCCAATATAAACATTTAATGACAAACATTCATATTTTACACTGGAATGATAGTGATTCCCTCGCACAATCACCTACATTCAGATTGGAACAACAGTTGGAAGAAAAAAAAAAAAAAAGTTACACCATTACCACTTTTGCTAAGTATTTACCATTTTCTGAAGAGAAAAAAGAAATAAAAATAAAAACACGACAACAACATTCTGCAAATATCCACAACACTGCATATTTACATCAGGCCAGCCATGTCAGACATCAGGGATCCTCGTTTACTTCTATGCTTGACACTCATATTGGCGTACAATGCAGTCTATTCATTCAAGAAACATATGCATCACAGAGCAACAATATTACTTTATTTGGTCTTTTTTATATCTGTGACTGTTTTCCATGCAAGCACGCATTCAACTACATAGAAATGCGAGATTTAAGATATATCAAACTTAAAAGTTGAAATCACATATCGAGGTGTCTAGATCTTTGGAGTCAATGCACATGCGCCAGACACATTTATGTCAATGTTGTGTTACTTGGTATCTAGGTCTATATATCACAATGAAAAAAAGCACGCAGCCATCTCATACTAACAAAAATTAGCAGTTGAGTTATTCCAAAGGATACAGAGAGCAGCTAAACATAGAAAAGTATACATATTTTACTTTAAAAAAAAAAAAGGATAAACCTCATCTATAGTCTGTGTTTTCCGGCTACGGTGAAGAAACTGGTTAGTTCTGATACTGATACATGTAGGAGTCTCTCGCTGATCTATGAATGCATTCAGATGAAAAGAGTCAGATTTAAGATGTGCATGTATTTGCATGCGAGGCCTCTATCTCTGGTAAACATAGACAAACTATACCTCTTAGACGCCTGCATTCCAACCCCTTATAGTTTAAGCGGCTTCTAGAAGCATCTTCTTCACCTGAGGCATCCGATATCTCCAATTCTGCATTAATTTCTGCATTTGACTTCTCTTGAGGGGTTGAGCAGTCAGAAAATGCTTTATCCATGTTGTCCTTGCAAGACCTTTATACCATGAATTGAAGTGTAAAAAATCCAGAGGAATCAGGATGGTAAGTTCTAAAGAGTCCTTCTCAAGTAACCAATTTAAGTCAAAGCAAATAAAAAACAAATAAATAATATTACCATGTGCATTGAGTTTCTTCAATACGATCCGCAAGTTCAGCAG